ATAAAAATAAATTTATTAATGTATGTTATAATTTTTTATTTATTGAAAACACCACATAAACGATGTCATAAATTTTTTATTTTTTTTCACAAAAGGAACAAATTAGTGGTGATTGTTAGTGGGATTCTATTTTCCATTTTTAGTTGTTGTTAGTCTTCAGTGCATGTTTTATCAGTTTTACAATAATATTCACACAGCATTCTCATCATTGTTTAAAGGTGCATAATGACCAGAAGTTATTTTTATTTTAAAAATGCAGCCTTACACTCCTAGTTTCAATTTGCAGAAGTACATCCCAAAGTAGAATTCATTTCTCAGTCCATTACAATTATAATGGTTAATAATTGGAATTATTTGTAATTCATTCTTTTTTTTATAACATATAATTATATTGATTTCATTCTGTGCTTGGTACAACATGGTCATGCCCCAAAATGTATTGGTCTCATGTCTCTACAACATGGTCATGCCCCAAAAATTCAATGGAAGTGAAAAACATGCTGCAGATGTATTGATTGGCAATGGAAGTGAACAAATTCTGTGGTTGGTGCCTTCTTTAATTTATTAATAAAATTCAACTAACATGGCATCACTAAAGCTCAAAAGATGGTGCACATGTATTACCAAGGCAATGTAAGTGAAAAACTAACAAAGGATTTTATATCAGATAATATGATATACGAAGCTACTATATTATACAAGACAGAACCACTACATTTATAAAAGAAATTGACCCAACAAAAGGTTGTCAAAATAACAAAATACAAAACAATGCAAATACATATCAGTTGAACACATCAACAGTCATTATCTGGTGGTGGTGGAAGAGGGAAGTAGTGATGGTATATGTCATTTATGTGATGCTCAATCCTACCTATGCGATTGTTTTCCATTTCATGACGTCTTTCAATGTCCAAACGGAACTCACCAAATTGTTGAATTAATGAGTTCTGTGTAGTGGCAAATGTATCAAACTGAGTACCCAACGAATTGACATGATTAGCCATTTGATGTTCCCATTGAACACACTGATTATAACGTTGTTCTTCCATGGCCAAAAACTCAGTCTAATATTGAGGTTGTTTAGTTGATGGCATCACATTGGCAGGAGGATCTTCTAGAGCATCATCTAGTGAGACTTCATCTTCTGAATCTTTTGGAGCATTAACACTTCCCATTAAATTGGAGGCTCCACCAGTACGGGTCACTGTATACTGATTAATGGGTGAACAGATTTTGATCTCCATTTTATCTACAAGGTGAATCCTAAGATGTTTGAAAATTTTTGTCAAGAGTGCTCCAAGCAATAATGATCGGCCCATGAATTGAGCAAGATTTGCATACATCATTTCTTTCATTATTATGTAACACAAATCTAACTTATGGCCAACTTCAAAACAGTATAACAAATAGGCATTAAAATATGGAACCGCATTATGATGTCCTTTTTTCAGAGTGACATTTTCTACAATCCACCGGTAGAGAATCCGAAGATAAGGTTTTAAATGTCTTGCTTGTAGATTAGTCCCAGTAAATATGTTTTGACAAATAGTAGTATATACGTCACTAGGATTACCAACAATAATAACTAACTCAACCTCACTCTGAAAATGGATATTTTCATCACCTACCTCAACTCCAATAATGCTTGCCAAAGTAGGAATATCAAACTGTATACCCTTTCCTTTCACATATGACAAAAGAGTAAAATTTCCATCTTCTTCCTGAGTACTTCTGAGGTGAACATAAAATAGAGATACCAGCTGTGGATATACCTTTTGGGGTAAATTAATTAAATTTAGTCATCCCACTGCTTCAAGTTTATTAACTAATAGTGCATCATATTGAGGTGGCAGATTTACCCTCCTCCCTGTTACAATAGGTCGGCTGGAGAAGTTCAGAAAGGCTTGTTCATGACTTTCACTGAGAAAATCATCAGTAGGATATGAGTGATTTTGAGGCTGCTGTTGTTGGCGTCGTGGAGGGTTGGAACTTTTACCAAGTTGTGGTCTGGCTCTTTTAGTTCTAGGCATGATGTAAATATCAGTTGAATTTTAATGAAAATGTGTTACATATGAAAGCTGAATTAGAGTTGGCTTGTTGTTGTTCTGGTGTTATGCTGAATTTTAATATGCAATGCTTGTGGTGTTATGCTGCATTTTAATATGCTGAATGAAAACATGAAGTTAATATGCAGTGTTTGTTGTTCAGAAGTGCAGAAGTGCACACTGAAATGGAAAAAGAACATGAAGTAAAAATTCAATGGAAGTTAATATGCCAGTGAATGTGTTCTGTATGACAGAAGTTAATTTCCAATATTAAACATGAATGTAGTTTGATTAAAACATGAATTTTATGCTCTTCAGAAGGTTAAAGTTGAACAAATAAAGCATGTTGTTATGCTCATTGAAAGAAGGGCCAAAGAAGGGGAAGGAAGTGCTCACTGAAAGGCAAAAAAAAATGTGCAAGGCCGGTTGACCAGTCGGTTGACCCACCGGTTGACCCGTGCGATACAGATTACCTCTGTTTTGATGCTGCCTTGTTGTTCCTACTGATGCTGGCGTTGTTGATTCAGATGGTTTGCCTTGCTGATTCTAGCATTCACACTTACAATATAGTGAATATGCAGAGTTTGGGAATAGAAATTAGTTAACCCGAATTTGAAGGTGGTGGTGGAGGGAATACAGTGAATGTATTCTTATAGAGGCAATTTGTAGATAGAGGTCTTCACTGAATAGAGTGAATTTGGTGATGCCATGTTTGTATACAATCTTGAGCTGATATGGAGGGTGAATTATTGAGGTTGGTGGTGGAGGGAATTAATATTCAACTAAATTGGTTGAATGAATTGAATGAATGGTGGAACTAAATTGGTTGAATGAATTCAATGAATGGTGGTGTGTGTAAAATGAGGCATTGAATCATTTGAGCCATTGAATTCGTATACCACTTCCGTAGTATGCCACCTCTATAGGTTGAATGCATTTATCCACTGAATAAATGAATGGCAACATTATTAAGTAGTATGCCACCTCTGTAGGTTGAATGCATTTCAACTGAGAAATTGCAGGGCCGGTTGACCCGTGCAATAAAGCCTACCTCTGTTTTGATGCTACCTTGTTGTTCTTGCTGATGTTGTCTTTGTTGATTTAGATGGTTTGCCTTGCTGATTCTGTGGATTGACACTTACAATATAGTGAATATGCAGTGTTTGGGAATAGAAATTGGTTAAGCCGAATTTGAAGGTGGTGGTGGAGGGAATACAGTGAATGTGTTCTTATAGAGGCAATTTGTGGATAGAGTGAATTTGGTGATGCCAGGTTTGTATACAATCTTGAGCTGATATAGAGGGTGAATTATTAAGGTAGGTGGTGGAGGGAATTAATATCAACTAAATTGGTTGAATGAATTCAATGAATGGTGGTGTGTGTAAAATGAGGCATTGAATCATTTGAGCCATTGAATTCGTATACCACTTCCGTAGTATGCCACCTTTATAGGTTGAATGCATTTATCCACTGAATAAATGAATGGCAACATTATTAAGTAATATGCCACCTCTGTAGGTTGAATGCAGTTCAACTGAGGCAATAAATGAATGGCAACATCCTCACTAATAAGCCAACCAACATCAATAAATGAATGGCAACATATCAGTAATAAGCCAACCAACATCAATAAATATATAGACAAATAAATTGGACACCAATACATATATATATACTGAATAAATTTGTATGCCACATCAATAAATTCGTATACTGAATAAAATCATATGGCACATCAGTAAATATGAATTGTGAATAAATTTATGTGGTATTATCATTTGTAACTAATTAAGACATGATTATTAAATTTATGTGGTACTATCATTTGTGGTATTATCATTACTGAATTGAACACAGAATAGTGAATTGAATAAATTTAAGACATGTTTATTAGATGTGAATAAATTTATGTGGTATTATCATTTGTAACTAATTAAGACATGATTATTAAATTTATGTGGTACTATCATTTGTGGTATTATCATTACTGAATTGAACACAGAATACTGAATTGAATAAATTTAAGACATGATTATTAAATTATCATTTAAGACATGATTATTAGATGTGAATAAATTTATGTGGTATTATCATTTGTAACTAATTAAGACATGATTATTAAATTTATGTGGTACTATCATTTGTGGTATTATCATTACTGAATTGAACACAGAATACTGAATTGAATAAATTTAAGACATGATTATTAAATTATCATTTAAGACATGATTATTAGATGTGAATAAATTTATGTGGTATTATCATTTGTAACTAATTAAGACATGATTATTAAATTTATGTGGTACTATCATTTGTGGTATTATCATTACTGAATTGAACACAGAATACTGAATTGAATAAATTTAAGACATGATTATTAAATTATCATTTAAGACATGATTATTAGATGTGAATAAATTTATGTGGTATTATCATTTGTAACTAATTAAGACATGATTATTAAATTTATGTGGTACTATCATTTGTGGTATTATCATTACTGAATTGAACACAGAATACTGAATTGAATAAATTTAAGACATGATTATTAAATTATCATTTAAGACATGATTATTAGATGTGAATAAATTTATGTGGTATTATCATTTGTAACTAATTAAGACATGATTATTAAATTTATGTGGTACTATCATTTGTGGTATTATCATTACTGAATTGAACACAGAATACTGAATTGAATAAATTTAAGACACTCCCAATGCATGCAATCTAAACTTCCCAACATACCCAGAAACCCCCGAACCTCCCCAATAGCAAGTAATCTAGCAATATCAGTTGGTGTTGAAGATCTCAGATATTCTGGTCCAAAGATTTCAATCACTGAATTACAAAATTGTTGCAAACTTTGAATTGCAGTGCTTTCCCCGATACGTATAAAATCATCAATTGCATCTGCTGCAACACCATATGACAACATTCTCATCACTGAAGTCATTTTTGTAGGGAAGATAATCCAACTACATGAGCTGCATCTTGTTTTTGAACAAAATATGAATTGTGTGCTTGGATTGCATTCAAAATTCGCAGATACAAAGGACGACGCATTCGAAAATGTCTCTGAAATATTGTAGGTGAATACACCGGGTTTGCAGCAAAATAATCTGTAAACAATCTCTCATGATCCAGCCTTCTATCTCTGCGCATATACTTATGGCCTACAACAGAACCTCCTATTTTCTTTGAGCTATCACTTGACTTAAGAATCTGAAGCATACTAGCATTATTCTTCTCATAAGCCCCTAAAAGTGTGACCATATATTCATCATCAGACTCATCATCGGAGGAGGAGAAAGAAGAAGATGATGAAAATGAAGTCAACATCATGGATTTGAAGGTATTCATTATGCTCTGTTTTGTTTCAGCTATGATCGTATCAGTTGTCTGAACTTGTCTGGCATGTGAATAATATGTTTATATGAGATTTTAGAAGCAAATCATTGTTGGAGGTAAACCAAAACGAAATATATGTAATGGAGGGAAAAAGAAATAGGAAAAGAATTGGGAATAGAAAGGGAGAGAAAAAAAAATTATGGCCTTACTGGTCGACCGGCCGGATGACCCTCCCCCTTTTGATGCTCACCGTTGGAGGAAGCCATATCAAATTGAGAAAATCACCTATTTTTTACTTAGATTTGGTAAAAAAAGTAATGAACGGTTGGAGATGCTCTTAGTGTTAGCTTAAAATGATTACATAAATTTTAATTGATAAAAAATTGTGGACAAATGGTTTGGAAATACTCTTCTGGTCCTGGGGGACGCTTGTAGCCACCTGAAAAGGAATCAACACTCCGGTCGAGGGCGTCGAAATTAGCACTCCGACGGGCAAGTCAATCTCTACTCTCTAGATTACTTTTATTTTAAGTTAAGTGTAATAGTTCTCACATACCTTTCTTCGTCTGTTACTCCTTTATTTATACTCGTTTCCTGGGCCTCGGGGCCTAGCCCACTTTTCACTCATTATTCTCTTATTTACTCGGCTTCATAGTTCAATAGATACTCGGCCTATCTAATGCATTCGGCCTCCTGATCATGTAGGATGGAGCCGAGTAGTATCTGTCTTGCAGAGTGTGCACTTCTGATTCTGCCATTTATTCGGCTCCCACAATTTATTCAGCCTCCTGATCGTGTAGGATGGAGCCGAGTAGTATCTATCTTGCAGAGTATGCACTTCTGATTCTACCATTTATTCGACTCCCACAATTGCCCCCCCAAACTCCCTATTGACGGTAGTTATTGGGTGTGTTTGGTTTCGAATTTTGAAGAGTCAAGAGAACCAAAAGTTAGGCGGCTTCACCTATCCCAATGTGAATGTCAGAACGCACACATCCTTCGGTCATCATTATACTTTCCCGCCTCATTCGTGCATCTCTCGCATTTATTACGATTTGAAACTCCAGTCCATTCGAATGTATGTTTTTTCAAATATTTGAGCCTCCTGGATTGCCAGTCGGTATCCCTTCTCTGATTCGCCTCTTCTGCAACTTCTCCCCGTCTCTCCTTGTCTCCTTTGCCTCTTGTAAGTTTTTTTTTCTTCTCTTTGTAATCCTATTTTCCGTGTTTATTTTAGATTTGGCATATCCTCGAGTCCTCGCTAGAATGGCTAAGCACTTGAAAGACCTCCTTTCCGAGGGTCGTATTTCGGGGTTCCGGCGACATTTTTCTATCCCTGGTGATGTCCATCTATCTTTAGTGACGGACAATACTCTCGATATGGAGAGGGAGGATCAAAATACAATCGTCTTTCCTCTCCTATCCATTGCAGAGGGCGGAGTTCATTTTCTCTTACACTCATTCCTTAGGGTCGTCCTCCGCCATTGGGATCTGATTCCTTCCCAACCCAATGTGAATTTTTTTCGAATCATCATGGGAATCGTAGAGTTGAACTGGCGCCTTAGAATCAACCTTGGTATTCCGGCCATTCCTCACTACTATGCTTTAGCCAAATCCTCCGGTCGGCACGAGCGCTACTTTCTCAGGGCCAAGGACACTGACCACCACCTGGTAACCATGCTTGTCAGCTCTGGCAAACGAGTTGATGGTGTGATGGTCAATGTCCGAGGCAATTGGGAATTCGGCGACGGCGAAGATCGCCTAGACCTTATACCCAGACGGAGGGGTGAACCAGGTTGCCGTGTAAATCCTCATTTTTATTGATCTTTCTTTTGCTTGGCCTTTTCTACCAATCTAATCCTTCGTTTATGCAGGCAATCAGTTGAAGAAGATTTTGACTTCGGCCGGCAAGGCGGTCCTTGCTGAAATTAAGACTGCACTCAAGTATTTTGGTCGTCCAAACGTACAGAAGCAAGGGAGAGCCACCCATATACTCCTGCGATATGAGCCTACTTATACTACGTTCTCGGCGGCGGACGACATTCCTATCCTAACCGGCGAACAACATCTTACGGCTTTTGTCTTCCCCAGCTTCAAGATCCTTAAGCAAATTGGTTTTGAAGCATCTGATTCGGAGTAGGAGGTAGAGCCAGTGGTCGAGGCAGTTGCCGAACGAACGAGAGAGTTCGCTGCGGAGGCCAAGGAGGTCGACAAGGCTCTAAAATCAGCGTTTGAAGCGGTCGGTCTTAATCAGCCTAACTCGCCGTCCACTTCGGGTCGAGGGGAGTTTTCCTTTGGAGATATTTTTACTGGCTTAGAAGATCTGCCCAACTCCTATTCCGAGGGTATGGCGAAGGAATCTCTTTCTCAGCTGGCACGAAAAAAGAATACTGAGCGTTTGGCCGCCCGTCAGAAGGCCGAGGCCATTACTTCCAAAGCTGCCCTTCCTGAATCGTCCGAGAAGGTTGTCGTTGTTGAAACGGCTCAAATTGTTTCTGTTGAGACGGAACGGTCAGTTGAAAGTCTGACTCCAGAGGCCGATAAGGGTAGGGAAAAGTGACCCGCCGATTTTGAGGCCGTTTTTGAAGAAATTCCAGTCGAGAAAAGGCCGCGCTTAAAGGAGTCGGACGTGGTTGTTCCTTTTGTGGTTCAGCCGAAGATAAAAAAATGTGCTGATCTCCTCTGACGCATCGGCTGTGAAAGACCCAACCGTGGCGTTGAGCTTGGCTTCGTCGGTCTCATTGCCGGCTGACATGGTAATTTTCTGCTCAGAGCCGGACGTGTTAGCAATTGCATTGGCCGCTCAGACAACTCTTCTGGTATGTATCTTGATCTTATCTTTTGCGTTTCTACATGTATTTGTTTTGGTTTTAACATTCTATTTTACAGACAGTCGGCAGGATAGCCAAGCAAGGGTGGCGTCAGCATGAAGCCGTCAAAGAAATAGGCCATTTAAGATCGGAGGTGGAGGGCGAAAGGAGTAAGGCCAACTTTAAGGCGGCAAGGGCAACAATGGAGAGTGCAAGGGCGGGGGCCGAAATGGAGAGAGCAAAAAATGCTGAAGAGCAGAGATTGGTCCCCAAGCAGAGGGCAAGCGCGAGCGATGAAGAGCTCAAGTCAGCCTAAGAGGTGGTTGCCAAGCTGGAGAACGAATTGGAAGAATTGAAGAAGGCAAAAGAAAAAGCCGACTCCGAGACTTCCAAGGCATACGAGGCCGGGCAAGACACCGCCCTTGAGAGCTATACCGAGGAAGCTCCTAAATTTGAAAATCGGGGATTCAAGCACGGCTGGCTCAAAGCCCTTGCTGCTGCAAATGTGACATTGGCAAAGCCAATTCCATATGAGCAAGTGGACATCGAGCCGCTGGAGTCTGACCCCGAGGACCCTTAAGATGCTACACTGGTTATTTTTGCCTAGGAATTTCAATGTATTTTCTTTTATTTTATTTTTACTCAGGGTGATCTTCATGTATAAAGTGATACTCTCTCTGTATTCAATTTGTCAATGAAATTTTCCCTTATTTTGTGTTATTTAATGAAATTTTTCCTTGTTTTGTGTTATTCCTGTACTTAGTTGAATGAATAGACAATTATTCTATTAAAAAGATGGATGATTCAAAAGTTGGGAGATATTCATGATTCAGATTTAAGGAATCTGCCATTGCCTTAGATATGAACTTGTCTGCCAAATGAGTCCAGTTCGTGAAATGGCTGAGGTACAATCCTTTCGGCATAAATCAGCCCTTGCCCAACCAATGCATCAGCTTCATAAGCCGAATAAGACTCGTTCATGGAATGACTGTGGCATAAATCGATCGGAATTGGGTTTAAATCCTTGGCCGATTAGATTAATAAATCTGCCCTTGCCCCAGCCAGTGCATGAGCTTCATAAGCCAAATATGACTCATTCATGGAATAGTTGTGGCATAAATTGATCGGCATTGGGTTTAAATCCTTGGCCGATTAGATTAATAAATCTTCCATTACCCAGACAGTGCATTAGCTTCATAAGCCGAACAGGACTCGTTCATGGAATGGCTGTGGCATAAATCAATCGGCATTGGGTTTAAATCCTTGGTCGATTAGATTAATAAATCTGCCCTTGCCCCAGCCAGTGCATGAGCTTCATAAGCCGAATAGGACTCGTTCATGGAATGGTTGTGGCATAAATCGATCGGCATTAGGTTTAAATCCTTGGCCGATTAGATTAATAAATCTGCCCTTACCCCAGCCAATGCATAAGCTTCATAAGCCGAATAGGACTCGTTCATGGAATGGCTGTGGCACGATCCTTTCGGCTTAAGGCCAAGGGATTTGGCTGACTCGAGTGAAGAGCCATTAACCGTTTGTATTAAGAGATTTGCCCTGGTCGGGGGTGAAGCTGGAAAGCCGAAAGTCGGGGGCTTACAGAATGCGTGCATTAATGAGGTCGCCTCGGGAACGCGGTGCGCCCATGAATTATTTAGAGAGGGGGTTGTGTCCAAACAAAACTCAACCCTGTATGAGGAGCTAAACAAAACTCAACCCTGCAGTGAAGAGTGAATGTCTAACAGATTATTCTTCAATAACAAAGGGGAAGGCAAGACATTGGCGGAGCTGGACTCGATGAATCGAGGTGGCGAACTTCCCCGAACGGGGTCTAGAGCATCTGTTGAGCATGAGAGGCGTCATTCTCCTCGTCGATGAAGCAGGTCACCCAGAAGGGAGAAACGCCAACGGGGCAGTTCCCCTCGTCCGTGCAGCGAAACCAGTGGGCCACCACGCCCATTGAGCTTTGCAGTTTTTGTCGATAACAAACCGATGACGGAGGCGGATTCAATCATCCGAGATCTGAGTGTGGCAGTAGAATTTGCGTGACAGATTTTTTTGCCAGAAGTTCAGCAGTCGATGGTTGGTCGACGAGACTTCGAAGTGTTCTGAGAGGGGATTCATGGGGCAGTGAAGAGGTTGTATACCTCCTACGAAATCAGTATACACCTTCGTGCTGCTCGACGGGAGATAGAGCAGAGGGAC